GAAGCGACATTCAACCTCGATTTGATTGATGAACTCAGAGAGGAAGCTCGGATCCATGAAGAAGCCTGCAAACTTTGAGCTTCCAGAAGATACAACACGCGAGCTGACCTCGCTATTTCCAGGTCACCTGGTATGGCGACTACTAGGAGAAGCCTGAAGAGACTCATCAGAGGGGAAGCTCGCGCCTAACTGGGATGACCCATTTCGAGTTACTAAAGACTTAGAAAATGGGGCATACCGACTAGAAGAGCTTAGCGGAAAAGCCATCCCACGAACTTGGAATGCCACGCATCTCAAGTTTTACTTCAATTAAATTGTACAAACAGGTTATGCACTCTTTTCTCGACTTGGTCTTTTGTCCCAAAAAAATAGAAAAATGGGTTTTGGTTGAGAGGTTTTTTAACGAGGCATACCCGCAATATTAATAAAATGATTCATTCCACTCATAACTTCTCAATTTTACACCGCATTGGCGAGAAACATATCATGATAAGCCAAGGTCGAATTCGAACCTTGGCACGAATTACGTTATGCTAAGCCAAGGTCAAGTTTGAACCTTGGTGCGAATTACATTACGCTAAGCCAAGGTCCAGTTCGAACCTCGGTGCGAATTACACTATGTTAAGCCAAATTTTTTCCCAATATACCTGCAAACAAAAAGCGGAACACGCGTCAACGAAAGCAAGTTGCACGAACCCTAACAAGTTACGAAAATATGAGATACTCACTCTCCAAACCCCTCTCCCTGTGCAACGAACTCTCAAGCGACAGGATGAGTTTAACATCTAGAGGTCAGGGAAGTGCCTTGAGGTTCTCAACGGCAGCTACCTCCGAAGCTGTCAACTGCGAAGGATCCACCCCGTTGAACCCAGACGGGTCGGGGCACCAGTAAAAAGGGAACTTCGGCAGCCCACCGAAGTAGAGCGCACCATCCTCAGACGGGTCAACACCGACGAGAGCGACCCGAAAAACCTCCTGCTGATGGAACTAGTTGAAGTAGATTGAGATTTCTTCAATAGCTCCATGCTTAGGACCGAATATGCTCTTGAGATAAACCTTCAAGGACTCTTTGAAGCTCCATGAAGCAACTCCAATGGAGAAGAAGTCTTGCTAGAGGTTCGGTTACTTCTCTTGGATGGAGAAGCTTGAAGAACCTAGGCTTAGGTTTGAAGAACTTTGGAGAATTTCTTAGAGTAGAAATTCCTCACGGTTTTGGACTCTTGAGTTGAGAGAAAAATCTGAAGATTGATTCTCATTTATGTCAAAAGTGATTACAAATGAGGGATTTAGAATTATATAGGGAAAGGTAGCTTGTAGGAGAAGCTATCCTTAACCATGGTTCACTAGGAACCATGGTAGGGTAAGCTTTAACTCCCACGGTTTAGGTAGCTTGTAGGAGAAGCCAACCTTGACCATGGTTCACTTAAGAACCATGTTCTTTTACAGATAATTCTCTCCAAGCTCAACCAATGAGTATTCTTTTATAAACAAGTATCTCCAAACTCAATCTTATAACAATGGTTATATCTGAGTAAAGTTTTACAGATGTTGTTTTGTCTTATAAATAAGATGTGATATAACCAATTAAGAACATAAGTCTTTACAGAAAGAATGAATAAATGATAATTTTGTACAAAAGTTCTTCTTTTTGATCTTGATGCTTCTTATATAGTAGCCTAGATGAAGATGACTGTTGCAAAACCTTAAGGGTTTCTCACAAGTTGGTTTTGTCTGTCTTCTTTACAAGTTCCTTGAGGTGAGAAATGTTTATTAATGCATTAAATGTTTGCATTAATTGTGTTTCATCAAATTGTCACATCTTATTTGATCAAGGAGATTACTTAACAACTTTAGGATACCAAACGAACTATGTGGTATGTGTCAGTGAAAAGTAGGTTCTACATCAACTTTTGCTGACTTTCTCCATGATTTCAAGGATATGATTGTCCTTGTTTCTCGTGCAAAGCATGATTTCATTCACTTTAATAGATTTACGAGTTTTAATGAGCTTTCTTAGTTCGATCTGTTAAGGAATCAGTTAGTTATATAACAAGTAGTCATTATCCATTATAAATGATATACATTTAAGACTTTATGAAGTAAGATTGTAAGCTTCGTCTAATGACACATCATTTATCTAACAGTTTGTGTCTTATGCTTTGTCTAATGTGTATTAAAAATATTTTCTCTTATAAAAACATTTTGTTTGTTGTCATTAAAACTTGAAATCTTAAGGGGTCCAAGATCATCTTTTGACTTAACAACTTTTAATGATCCTATAGATGCAATTGCTCGAAACACATCCCGATTTATTGGAAAGATACAAAGATGAAGAATTATTGAAGTTTAAAGCTATTTTGGCATCAAAAATTGAGGTTGTTAATCAAATTAATGACTATGCTCTATCTATGATTCCAGGTATTGCTTTTCATATTTTGATTCAAAATATGTCATATAGAGTTATAACACTAAATACAATTTTAGTTGTTACTTAGTGAATTATATTGAACTCAATTGATTTTAGGTGATGGAAAAGAATATCTGAGTTTAGATTCGATTAACAAGCCTGAAACAATTGAAAGTCAAACATTTGAGGCACTTACAAGTGAATTTTTGAACTCTCTCAGAACTTCTAGTCTTCCTAATAATAAGATAAAACTCAAGGTTGGAACGCAAATCATGTTATTAAGGAATATAGATCAATCTGAAGGCTTATGCAACGGTACTAGGTTGGTCATCACAAGACTAGCTAATCATTTCATTGAAGGAAGAGTTATAACTGACAAAAGATTAGGAAACATAATCTACATACCTAGGATGTCATGTCTCCTTCTCAATCTCCATGGCCATTTCAACTTATTAGAAGAAAATTTCCTATCATTGTCTCATATGCCATGACAATCAATAAATCACAAGGTCAGTAATTGAAACATGTTGGATTATACTTGTCTAAACCACTCTTTAGCTAAAGATAGTTATATGTGGCAATTTCTCGTGTTTAGTCTAAATTTGGCAGAAGATTTTAATCCATGACAAAGATAGAAAACCATTAAAGACAACCAATGTTGTCTTCAAAGAGGCCTTCCAAAATTTATAACAGGTATTATCTACCTAATCCAAAACTAACTACAATATAATATTTGGATTATGTTTGGTATCAATCTTTACTTTTCTTAACATGATTTTTTTTTTATTAAAAAAATCAATTAACTTGTAATGACCTTTCCCGTTTGAATATGCATTATGTTTAATCTTTTACTCATTTGAATCTTAAATAAAAATTGTTTTAATAATCCTATCTAATGTATTCAATTATTACAAGTTGTTATTGACTATATTAATCTGATACATATTTATAATGTATGGCAGATTACCAAATTTAATGCACCACATTAATTATCACATCTTTTGATAAGCTTTTATTATTATTATTTATTTGTAGGATTAAATATGTTGCTGCAAGATTGAAGTGTGACCACAAAGAATTTTTTGGATAAATGTTATTTACTATATGATGTTACTTCATCCATGTTGAATTTTCATACCCAATTTTAGTTTTGTCCTTTTGATAAGGTTTACAAAGAACAATACTCTTTTGTTCTCATTAAATATAAATGTCCTATATCAATATTTATTTTAAAAGGTTTACTAAGAAAAATAATATTCAAACCACTATAGACTTGTGCATTTATACAAGTTACTTACTAGTATAGATAAAAATTTAAAAAATAAAATAAAAATTTAAGAGCAGTTGTGGGTGATTATTTACAAAATATGAGATTTTTTTGAGGTATAATAGTTCACTAACAGTGAAGACTATAAATAGTTACATTTTTTGTATCCACTTTATTAGAGCTGTCAAAATGGGCTTGGCCTGGTGAGCCAACCCGGCTCACCACGGGTTCGAGCTGGGTTGGGTTAAAAAAAATTTGAAAATTTTAATGCGGGTCAAATTTGAACCCGGCTCACCCGGGTTGAACCCGTGGTGAGCCGGGTTGGCCCACCAACCCGTGATTAAATTTTTTTTTTGAAAAAAAACAATAATTATTGGGTCATGGTGCAGTCCAACATGAAACAATAATAATTTAATGTTGGATTGGATTTGTAATTTTTATGATTTTGGATTGTATTTGAAGTTTAAGATGATTTTGGATTATATTTGAAGTTTAAGATGATTTTGGATTATATTTATCTATTTGAGTTTAGGATGAATGATTCATTTATGGATGTCTTAATTAAGAATCTCAGATTTTTAAAATAAATTTAAATTTTTGGACTTTAGTTGTATATTAAGAAAATAAAAATAAAAAAAATTATTTTTTTTAAAGGTGAGCCAACCCGTTTAACCCACCAACTCGTGGTGGGCCGGGTCGGACTTGATTTTTTTGAGCTCACTGATAAATGAGTCGGGTTGGGTTGGCCCACCAAATGGCCAACCTGTGGTGGGCCGGGCCGGGCCGGGTAGCCCGTTTTGACAGCTCTACACTTTATAATATGTATGTGTATAGATGTATAGATAAAAGTTAAAAAAATTATAAAAATAGTAATTTAAGACTGGTTATGGATGATTATTCATGAAATATGAGATTTTTTTTTCTTAAAGGTAAAATGGTCTACTAAAAATAGACATAAAAAATAATTACACTTTTCCGTATCTCTTTTATATATATAGATTATATATTTATAAATTAATTAATATTTTAAAATAAATTATAAATAATTAAAAATAGTTATAATATATATATATATAACTTATATGGACTAAAATACTAAATTTCATAACATGTACTCATCAATGAAAACACTTTCCCCTGAATTAGTTTTAAAAGAAAGAAAATTAAAAAATAAAACAAAATCAATAGAAGAGTGCATTTAGTAAATAGAGCGAATTCGTTTAGCAATTGTTGATAAAGAAAGAAAATGGAAGAGAAACATCTTGATCCAACTGAGGGTTTATGGATTAATGATTGGGCCGGGCTTAGTTTGAGATTCAAATTGGAAAGAGCGTAATCGAAGTGTGGAGAGAGTTGAGAGGTGCGTTAGCGTTAGGTTAACGCATTCAATACAAAACACCGAACTTGAAACCCTTCCAATATAAACCCTCGCTTGTTTGTGTGCTCTTTCATACTCTTTGTGTTAGATCACTTGCTCTGCTCTTCAAGCAAACGCAGCATCATACTCACCATTCCATGGTACGCTCTCTCCTTTCAATTTCAACACTTTCTTTTCAATTCTAGTCAGGCGTTCGATTTACTCTTTATCTTTTGCGTTGCAGGCTTTGCCCAATCAGCAAACCGTGGATTACCCCAGTTTCAAACTCGTAATTGTCGGTGATGGTGGCACAGGTAATCTTTTATTCTTTTTGAATTTTTCAGCAATGGTTATGTCAATTGCTTGACGATCTAGGTTATACCTTGGTATATGAGCTTTATTATCGTGTTGAACATTCGCAGGAAAGACGACTTTTGTGAAAAGGCATCTCACTGGGGAATTCGAGAAGAAATATGAGCGTAAGGTTCATTTTTAATTAAGGATATGATGTGTGCCTAAATGCTCATCTTGTTCCACCTATGAATATATTCTTTTTCTCGATATTGCTTGTCCTAAACAGCAACCATCGGTGTGGAAGTTCATCCATTGGATTTTTTCACAAACTGTGGAAAGATTCGATTCTACTGCTGGGATACTGCTGGACAGGAGAAGTTTGGTGGCCTTAGAGATGGATATTAGTAAGTTATTTGGTCTCAGTTTTTTGCTTAACAGATTGCGTTTGTTATGACACAAGCTTAACAGGGGTTTTCACTCTCAAGTTGTTTTTCATGGGTATTAAAATGTATAATTGGTTAATTCCGTTTGATTCCATAGGTTTTATCAGTATCAGAGTTGGTGGTGTTGTTTTGCATGGCAGTTGCCTTTTTAGTCTTATTTCTATTAGGATGTCTGTGTTAGATATATAGATATTCTAGAATTTTAAAACTGTTATGAAATATTTTACTTGTTCCACTGGAAATTTCTGTCCGAGTAGAGTCTATTATTCTTCTGTGATACGAACAATTTTCAACTTTCCTTGTGCCTCCAATCTGCTCTTTGTCTAATGCTAGTAATATTGTGTTTGCAGTATCCATGGGCAATGTGCAATTATCATGTTTGATGTTACTGCTCGTCTAACGTACAAAAATGTCCCTACATGGCACCGTGATCTTTGTCGGTTCGTACATCCTTGTAGCATTTTTGGTGGTTGTGTCTCTTATTTTTTGGCTATATGTTGTTTATAACATGGGTAACATCTGCCCAACTGATTTTTTCAGGGTCTGTGAAAATATCCCTATTGTTCTCTGCGGAAACAAGGTTGACGTTAAGAACAGGCAAGTGAAGGCAAAGCAGGTTACTTTCCACAGGAAGAAGAATTTGCAGTACTATGAGATATCTGCTAAGAGCAACTACAACTTCGAAAAGCCTTTTCTGTATTTGGCCAGGAAACTTGCAGGGTAGAGCCTGAGTTTCTACTTCATAATTTATACATAAGAAGTCAGAACACATAAAACATTTAAAAGCACAACTAATTGTTTGCCACTTGTGTCAATTTTGCAGCGATCCTAACTTGCACTTCGTAGAATCTCCTGCATTGGCTCCACCTGAAGTTCAAATTGATTTAGCTGCACAACAACAGTAAGCTATCTTTCATGAACAAAATTTTCTCCTCCGCTTACATCAACCTTTCAAGGTCGAGTTCGAACCGCGGTATGAATTACACTATGATAAGTCAGGGTCGAATTCGAACCTTGGTGTGAATTACATTACGCTAAGCCAAGGTCGAGTTCGAACCGCGGTGCGAATTACACTATGATAAGTCAGCTTCGAATTCGAACCTCGGTACGAATTACATTATGTTAAGCCAAGGTCAAATTCGAACCTTGGTGCGAATTACATCACGCTAAGCCACGGTCGAGTTCGAACCTCGGCGCAAATTATGTCATTCTAAGGCAAGGTCGAGTTCGACCTTGGCACGATCAAAAATCAAAAACAAAGGTCAAGATTGAACCGGCACAGGCCAAGTTTGAGCCCCAAAGCGCAAAATTTTGGATTCGATTCCTAGATTAAAGTCGAGGGTCAAATTTGAACCTTGTCAAAACGAGAATCATCGAAAGAGAAAGACAAGAATCGCAAATAAGAAAAGAAAGTTATATACATAAACAAGTTCATCAACACAGAATACGAGTTCAAAAAAGCAAGGAAAATAAACTAAGTTATTACAAAACAGCAGCCTAGGCAGTGGTATTCTCGCTCGAGCTATTAGGGAGGCCGTGTTCCTTCACCAGCCGCCCAGCTCGCACCTCTTTCTCTACATGCATAGCAGAGAGGTCGACCCCGGGTGCAAGCAACCTCACCTGACGAGCTGCCTTGACAAAGCCCTTCTTGTGCTCCACCAAAATAGCTCACTCAGTCTCGACGAGCTTTCTCTCTAGCTCCGCCTTAGCCGCGGCCAGATTATCAAGGTCCGCTCTCAAGGCACTTGCCTCCTCCTCCTTGCCAGCTAGAAGCACCTTGTCATAAAGACGTCTCTCAGCTACCTCCGCCAGATCAGCCTTCAGCCCCGAGACCTCGTCCTCCAAAGAGCGCACCTAGCCTCGAGAAGAATTGGCGATCTGCTGAAGCTCGCCGACCTGGGCAGCGTAGACCTCGTTAGCCCTCAAAGAAATCTCCAAAGACTTCTGAGTCCTTGCGAGATCCCTCCTTGTAGCTTGAAGCTCAGCCTCGTTCTTCTTCACGACCTCGCCCAAAGCGGCCCCCAAAGCCCGATTCTCCTCCTCTAGGGGCTGAACTCGGCTCCTAGCACTCTCGAGCTCCCCCTGCAACTTCGACCACTTGCGCTTCCAATGGTCCACGATGGTGATCGATCTCTGCATGAAGACCTTCGCAGAGTCTAGGCCCGACCTTCTTGATAATCGCCTTATCAGCCGAGCGGAGTGAACCTCGCGGGTAGAAGGTCTCAACAGCCACCCCCGAACTCCACATTGAGTCCACGTCTGAAGAAATGCTCACATGGTCCAACCTCGCCAGGGGACGAGTAACATCGAAGCGTTGTATGATGCACTTCCCCTTTGGAGCCCCTAGTAGAGGTGGAGGTGGCACAGCGGCTGCAAGGGTTGACGTCGGCGCCCCAAAGATCGGCCCCTCTTCGTGAGCCTCGGCGGGAGTTGAGGTAGGCGCTGCCTACGCAGCAGTTGAGGCATTCAGCCCTAGCGCCTCCGAGCTTGGTTCCACTCGGGCCTTGGCAGAAGTCGGCTCAGGCCCCGCCAGCACAAAGCACGAAAATTCTCTAAGTTATTAAACAAGAAAATCACACAACGTGGAAGAAAAACCATAAGAAAAGAGATACAAACCTGCGCCTCACGAGCGACCTCCTCCACAACAACTTGGGACGATCCCTCAGGCGGGGGACTTCCGGTTAGGTCGACTGCGTCGACATCAGTAACCTTCGAAGTCACCTCTTCAGCATCATGAGGGGCGGAGGTCCCCCCGACCTCCTTCTCTCCCCTCTTTCTTTTTCTGTCGGTTTCAAGAGGAGCAACCTCCTCCTCGCCGACCTCGGGAACCTCGATCTCGGTCACATTGTAACGGGCCTTCAACTCGCGCCATTTGCTTCTCCCCATTATACCTGCAAACACAAAAATCCAACACATAAGAAAAATAAAAAAGAAAAAAAACCCTAACGACTAAGGATGACGAGGTACTCACTCTCTAAACCCCTCTCCTTGTTCGTTGAGTTAGCAAGCGACAAGACGAGCTTGCAATCCAAGGGACGAGGGAGCGCAGCTAGGTTGGTAATGGCAGCCGTATCCGAATCCTTCAATTGAAGACCACCTGACCCGTTGAACTTAATCGGATTCTGCTGCCAGAAGAGAGAGAACCTCAGCAACCCGCCAAAATGGAATACTTCATCCTTCAGCGGGTCGGCCTTTTTAGGCAGAACTCGGAAGACCTCCTTTTTGAAGCTCTTGTATGACTGGGAGTAAAGCGAAAATAACCCCCCAGCCTTACTCCCATTCAAAGACATCCAACCAAGGGAGGCTCACCCAACTTAAGTTGGTAGAAGTGGAGAAAAACAGGCAGTGACAACCCTATTCCCAGGGCCGAGCACAAGACTTGAAAAACCCTCAAAAAATCCCAACTATTGGGGTGCAGCTAACAAGGAGCCGCGTTGATAAAATTCAAAAAATCACACTCGAACTAAGTGAAGGGTAGGCATACACCTAAATCCCTAAAAAAAATTGGTACATGTAGAAAAAGGGGGGATTAGAGGTACCCCCCATATACACGCTCACCGGGCTGATAAGGCTCGAGCCGGATGAGCTTGGAAATGGATCCTTGGCAGATCCTGAGCGATTTCCACATCGCGTTAACCTCAAGGAATGCTTTGAGGACACTCTGGAACTCGCTGACGTCCCCTCTGACCCATTCATAGCCAGTGATGACGGGGAAAGAATCCCTAGGGTTATTCCCACCCCTCTTCTTTTCAGCGGCGGCCGTCTCGTCGGCCACCGCCTTGCCGCGAGCCTTGCCTTTACCTTTGGCCGGTGCAGAAGGTGCGCACTACTCTCTCCAGCCATCAAGAAACCAAAAGACTCGTGAAAAGGGATAGACGAGGAGAAAAGAAGAAGGGGCCCGGTAGAGAGAAAGAATGAGAAAAGAAGACAGAGAAGGCAAAGTACCTAGTACTCCCTTGACAACGATAAAACAATGACGAAGGATGAGGACCTGATTGCCGGAAACGGCGACGACGAGGAAGAGTAGGGACAAGGAAAACGGAGACGATGAGTGAGCAAGGAAAGTCGAAGCGTCGAAAGCACGCCAAAGAAGGAAGGGTAAAGTGAATGTGAGAGGGCGCGCGAAAGAGGGAAAGAAAAGAAGTCTCCAAATTTGAAACGGACGTGAGACGTGGGGGGGAGGAGACACAACTGACGGCACATTAAATGATGCGCATTATGACAAACTGCACCCATCATTACATAACTGTCACCTCCCATTAACACGCCGCCCACGCGTTATGGGAACAAGGTGACATTCATGACACATGATGTCACGTCAGAGAAGCGTACGCGAAGAGTCATGACCCTTCATCAAGCTCGGTATTAACTCCTCGACCCACGGTCTTCGGAGCTTGGGGGGCTAGTGTACTATCCGTACCGCGAAGGCGAGCTCGAGCTCGGCGTCACAGCGCAGATTGACATCGGACACGCGCCAGGCGACATCGGCCAAGATAAGGCCCACTATCTAAATAGATCATAACTAATCTCGGGCCCAAGGTCCAGTGAAACCCTAATTCACATAAAGGTACGTGCATTACTTATACGAGACCCATACATCCACAAACACTAACTTTAGCATCGGAGTCTCTTTTGCAGGTATCACCCCCACTTTGGAACAGCAAGCGTACCCAGCAAAGAAGGCTCACCAATCTTGCCCAGTAGATCGTCCCTACGATCGATCTCCGGTATGAACACTTCCTTTGTAGAGTGTTTACATTTGTCAAGGTTTTGAATATTTCTTCCTCTTGTATTGTCATAAATTGTTTTATTTTCGTATTTTTTTTTATCATTGTCTTGTCGATATAATAGATAGCAAATATTTCAAATTAAACTTGTGACGATTTAACCCATTTTTTGTTAATCAGCTTCTCCTCGATACAAAAAATGTTTATTTTTTTCTAATATTATAACAATTTTTAGCTCATTTATATGCCAATCATTGTTTTGTCGAGATGATAAATGTTTCATCCCTTAATAGTTTTTGTTTGTTAACCTGTAGATCAACATAATGTTGAGTTATCTTTTTTCTTTTTTAAGTTATTATGAATTTTTCTTTTTATCGATGATTTTGACAAGTGATCTACTATATATTTGTTTTTGCAATCAACTTGGAGAGATGTACATTTTCACTCAAAGACATTTAATTTCGCAATCAACTTGGGGAGATGTACATTCTCATCCAAGGACGTTTATTTTCGTAATCAACTTAAAGAGATGTATATTCTTATCCAATGGCAATTATTTTGTAGTCAACTTGGAAAGATGGACGTTCTCTCCCAAGGGTATTTATTTTCATAGTCAACTTAAGAAGATGTACATTCTCATCCAAGGGTGTTTATTTGTAGATTGAAAGAATATCATGTTGGCGAAAAGGTAAAGAGTCAACGATTTTTTTGTGCGTGTATATATCTATATATGTGCCAAAAATTAAAGTTGGAGTTTTTACACGAAAATAAAAACATTAAAATAAGTAAATAAAAAACGTATTAAATCAACTTAGCTATAGAAAAAATGAAGACCGTTTGCATTTCTAGCCCTCAGAATGATGTTGTAGTCTATAACTTGTAGTTTATATGCTCCCTTTCCTAAAATTGTTGAAACTTTGTATATGGTCCAACACATTTTGATGATAATTAATTTACTTTGAATTAGATTTAATTGAGCTTTCTTTAAGATCAAAATGTCGATCTTGAAATCTCTTAACCATACTTTAGTATTATACTTGTATTCTACTCTATGTTTGATTGTTGTTTGTTTGATATGAGCTATTATGGAGAAAAAAAAACAAATGTTAGAAAGGGGAATAATACCTATCAAAAATTCACACTTTTTAATATGAAAGTAATAGCAGTAACAATATAGAGTGCAAGAAAAAAGATAATTAAAAGACATGTTAAACCATCAAGATTTTTAAGACTAAATATCTTTTTTACTTTACAAGAAGCATACCACAAGTTACTTTTAAATTCTTTCATTTTCTCTACGGGTTTATTTAAAAAGAAAATTTTCATAACTTTTGAAAAGAAATTAAAATTTTACAAAAAGAAAAGGAAAGCTTCGTAGTTGAAAGCGAATGAGCTTAAAGATAAGCCTCCAAAGGATGCAAAGTTGACGTGGATGAAGTTCAAAATGCACAATAATTATGATGTAAAAACTAATTAATAGTTTTGCGTACATGACTCTAACCTTTTAAAACTAATTTAGTTTCCTATTTATGTACTCAAGACAAGCGATACAAAGATACATTAGTGTTGCTTATGATAAGAGAAACTAAAAGCAGCGAACCCCAGCCTTCATGGAAATTGAAAATCTCCCCCTGTACCTTGTCCATCGGAGCCCTTTGGTGGACTAATGGAAACCCAAAGCAAAGAAAGCGTAATTGCAATGAGACCTGACCACACAAACACAATAGTGGGCGTCTTGCCTCTCCTCCCCATCAACCCTTTGGCAAACGGGTACAAATGAGCAAGCACCCAGAAACTGAAGAATCCTCCTCCTATGAACTTACTCCACTGTGGGTTTGCGCTGTAAATGGTTCTGGAAAACGCAACAGCGATGGCGATTATGTTCATCATAGCAATAACAATTGGCGGAACCATCAAGGAGCTCCACTTGACTATGTACAAATCTGCAAAAATGTCATCGTCGTCTTCCCCGCTTGATTTGGACGTCAAGGTAAAAGAAATCTCAATACCAGCAATCACCTTAAGGAGACCTTGCACGACAGCAGCCAAGTGAGCACTGGTTCCAGAAATGAGCCAAAACTGTTCGTTCCTCCACCACTGCTCCAACTCGACGCCAGACCATTTAACCTCCAGAATGGCCAGCATGACGAGGCATATGGTAATGATGAGCAAGTAGATCAAGAAGGCAATGCTAAGCGTTTGGACAATGAAGTATCCCGAGAAGAGAGAGAGTGCGGGGAGGAAGCAATAGACAACGAGGAAGATGGAGGTGAAGGGGTAGATGCCAACGTTGAGGTAAGCGAAACGTTGGAGAATCTTCAGGCGCTTACTCGCAAGGAATGCGTTGTTCTTAGAGAAGAATATTTCAACAGATCCCGTCGCCCATCTCAGCACCTGGTGTAGTCGATCAGTGAGGTTAATCGGCGCTGATCCCCGAAATGCATCTCTCTTCGTTATGCAATACACTGAACGCCATCCACGGTTATGCATTCGGTACCCCGTCACCACATCCTCTGTCACAGACCCGTAAATCCATCCCACTCTGTCTCCCCATTCTGTCTTGTCTTCGTACCTACATATATAGTAGTATTGTTTATTTCATTTCCAATGAAAATAAAAAGAAAAGCACAGGTTAGGAAACGAACCAACAAGAAATGACGGATACGGCTTCAGCTACAGTGCTAGCATCAAGCGGGTCGCGAGGGACCCTAAGAACACCAGGTGGACGTCCATACTTGACGGCAGGGTGATCCGCTAAGGGACGGCCTTGGAATTCTGCGATGGGTATGCTCTCAGACAGCATGGTTGAGTTACCAAAGCGCTTGGGCAGTAGATTCACGTCGAGGTTTGAATCAAACTCGCTGGCATTCATGGCCGGCGTTTCATTGCCTTGATGACCTTCTTCACTATTCTTTTTAGGATCTTTCTTGTCATCCTTGTCCGCAAAGGGTGGGTCGAATCCGTACAGGGCAAACCGCCTGAACATGCATCCAGTTCCCACGTACATTGGACCTTGAACGCCGTCCAGGGCTCGCATGTTTCCGTCGAAGAAGACGGTGTTGTGATTGGCATAGCGATCCGAGGGGTCGATGCCTTCGAACCTCTGCGGGAACTGGATATAGCATATGTCCTCACCTCCTCTGTCCATCATGAAGCACATGCCTTCCCGCACCGCCTTGCAGTTGTAGATGTAATGGTCACAGTCCAGGTTCAGAATAAATGGCCCATTCGACAAAATTGCAGATGATCGAACTAATGCATTCATGGCACCAGCTTTCTTGTTGTGGTCATAGCCTGGCCTCTTCTCTCGAGAAACATATACAAACATCGGTAACCGCGTATCTACCTCTGTGAAGTCTATAATCTTGTCATCTGCGCTTCCCAGTAGCGGATCAGGACTCGGCGGCTTTAGCATCACCTATATATAACACGCCGTTAATTTGGTTATTCAAATGAAACCAAGTAGTTAGTTAGTTAGTTAGGTACCTGAAGTATTCCAGCGTGATCACTTTTGGAATGTTCACTAGAAGGAGTAGCCCAAGTACCAGGCCAGTGAGTGCCATCAGCCATCCACGTGGCCTTCAAGACTTTGACGGGCTCAGAAGGGTCAGCCCCACTCTCCTTCATATGCTTCATCATCTTCATTTCCTCTCTGGCGTTAAATGCATCAGATCTTCGCCTGATGGAATCTGGAAGGCCGTTTATGCGTACCTTGAACTCATCGTACTCCCTCTTCACCCGCCTCCTGTCCTTCACAAAATCCGGTCTGCTTTTGTTCTTGGTGGGGTCAACTTTTAAGCTGAAGTACGAGTCTGGATTTCTGGGCTCAATGTTGTGTTTTCGACAAAAGGGAACCCATAAGTCGGCAAAACTGGCAGCTTCAGCCATGGCTTCAAAAGTCAAGAGAGCACCTCCGTCATCAGAAACGTAGCACGCAAGCTTCTCAACAGGGTAATCAACCGCTAATATGGAAAGAATGGTATTAGCAGTGGTCAAAGGTGGCTCCTTCTCAGGATCGGCAGTGGACACGAAGAGGTCCACACCGGGTAGATCAGATCGCCCTGAGGGATTTGATGGGGTTGGAGTATCAAATTTGTCATGAAGGACTTCAAGGTCGGTGGAACGATTCACGGGGTGAAGCTTCGGAATTTGATCTAGAATCCACGAGAAGGCAAACCATATCTCACAAATAATGGACATAAGCCACAACCATACTGCATCTACATTTGGATGTACCACTCTCCAGTGTAGGAAGAAGCACAATACTACTAACCGAACAACAATAATCAACCTGCAGTTCAGATACATCCATGCACGATTGCAATGCATGAAATAATTATTACTGTATATATAATATGTGGGATGCAATTAATAGAAATGGTAATTAACCTGTAAGGACTCATGATGCCTGATGGAATTGGCGTTATCCGGCTTAACGGCTTCCACGGCTTCTCTGGATCTAGCATTCCTCCCGGAAGGGGTTCTTCACCATCGTCGTACATGTCATCTTGGGGCCAATACGCATTACCAACGCCGTAGGTACCTTGAGTCTCGAACAACCACTTGTTATGGTCAAATTCTCCATTTTGATTTCTCTTCATAACTGACATGTTTGAATTACGTTTGGAACCATTTGGTGCTGGTAATGGCAATGCCCCGTTGTTGGGGTATTCTGTGAGGTCTTCCTCGTATTCCGCGACTTTATATGGCTCCTTGCAACCGGGGCACATACCAGATTCTTTTTGTGCATCTATAAAGCAATCTCTACAAATCTTGAACCTAAATTTGAATTTCTCTTGTCAAAATTAAGAGATATATATGCATGATGATATAGATGATATATAAATATAATTGTGAATTTGCACACGTACGTACATACATACCTACACTCACATGGAGTCACATCATTTCCCCTCTCATCCCTCATGACCCTGCCATCACAAATTGAACATGCAGAGCCTTTGGAGCCGGCCATTTGAGGATGAGTGACTTCAGAATCGATGACCTTGTCCATTAGATGCGCCCTGGTAACGCTGTTGAATCCCCCGGTAAATAAAGAATTGGAAACGTATTGTTCTTCAGCTTTCATTGCTACAGATGTGTCCATGGGTTGATTGTCTGGGGTAGGGGGTATATGAACAGTGTAGTTCATGTAGTCCCCTGATAAGTCTGAGGACATGTCCATGTCATCTCTTGACAGACTCACATATCTTCCACTTGAAGTTCTTCTCGCAAACTTCACAGTGGGCCCGCCCGCGTTATTTGCTCCTTGAGAACTACCAGATGATGATCCTCCACCGTTACGTGCAGACTTCTTTGAAGGTTGCCTAGACATCGATGCCATTCTTTATTATTGCCTCTACTCCACCTATAATTTAATTTTCTACCAATTAACAAAATCTACATGTACTCTATTATTTTCCATTTTGATTCGTAATAAATTCATGAAGAAGAACGAAAAGTAGTTAGTTGGAGAGAAATACGAAATAGAAATAACGTTAATTTACCATGGCAACATCTATTAGCTATAATCAAAGATAAGAATGAGAGTTCAAATTATTCATGGTCGGAGATTGAAAGAAGGTAGTTAGAGACAAGAATTTTGATTGACAAATGAGAGATTTGTCAGAGTATAGAATGTTGGCGGAGAAGAAGGATTTATGGTGAGAGACCAAGTCCATCCTACAAGGCTATTTTCAGGGTCTCGCTTCCGAATTCGTAGAACTCTGTTGCTCTCTATCTCTCTTTATACATGTAAACTTTTTGGTTTGTAACTTTTCTATTTATGTTCTATCTTCAACTCTTTCTATTTTAAGCCTTTATTTGGTTACAATTTTGTTTATACACTTTTTTTTTTTATCAAATTAGTTGTCCAACATTAAAATCCTTTCCGTCTTTATATTCAGACTAATTACCTTATTTTAAGAACATAAGAACAGTTGAAATCACCAAAGGTTACCTTCAATTAGGTTTTTGTTTGTCAATATATACTATACGTCACAACACATAAAAATTGGCAGAAGTAAATTTAAAGAAAAAAAAGTTTTTAGTTCCCTTAAAATTTTTAAAATTAGAATTAAAAAGTTTTATTTCATTTTGATCCTTCTAATTTGAAAATGCTATTGCTTAAAATGGTTATAAAATATTATCAAAATTACTTTAAGCATAAAATATGATGCCTTTTCAAATTAAAAATACTAAAATAAAACAAAACAAAAAAATTAAAGAAACTAAAACTGAACTTAGAAAAAATTTAGAGAGTTAAAAACATATTTTACTCTTTATTAATGCCATGATTAAATTATTTTTAATTTTATTATAGGAAAATATATATTAACATAGTAGAAAAATTATAAGAGTAAAGGCTAGAGAAGTTCTTATATTAAACAAACAAATTTATCAATTAAATGAATTATACATGTTTTCAATGAAATTTTTAATTGAATCTTTTTATTCAAACTAACAACTTTTCTAAAATTTCAACTTCGATTATAAGCCTAATTTGAATGTCTGTTATAATTAAATTAGATTCATTACAATTAGTCAGTTTATGTAATGATCCATCAGGTCATCACACAGGTATAATAGACATCTACAATGAAAGATAAACATTCTCTAACTTAGGATCTCATGCAAATAGTTCTTGAAAATCCATGCACATGTGCCTATCTATCTATCTATCTATCTATTTATCTATCTATCTATATATATATAGGGTGCAAAAAACATAAAATAGCCCTTGCTAATTTTGATTGGAAAACATAAAGCCCTTTATGGAATTCAAATATAACCTTGTACATACACACAAAAATACATCCGGT